GGGATTGACCGACACATTATAATGCCCCCACGGCTGAAAGGGCGAGCATGTTTGACGGGACGGGGATTCGAACCCGCGACCCTTAGATTGCGAGTCGAGCGCCCTAACCCACTTGGGCTGCTGCCGTTTATAGAATCGAAACACAATAAAGTAACTACTACCTGTGTTCAGTTACTGTGTTTTGTAACTTTATGTTCTTCAATTGTACTTGAATGGTAGTTACAGATCTCATACGAAGTGAAAAGAACAGATGTAGTGTGGCTTGTCATGTTAAGTAAACTATAGAATATAAAACCTTGTGATCTTAAAAGTGTAGATTTTTAAGGCTTCTCAATTTTAATATGATTATAAACAATGAAATATTAAAATTGAACCTTTTAAGGATCAATGAAACTAAGGAATATTAAAAATTCTCATTTTTGTTATCAGTATAAACCATGGAATATAAAAAAAATCATTTTTGTTATCAATAAAACAATGGAATATTAAAATTGAACCTTTTAAAGATCAATAAAGTTAAGGAATATTAAAAAAGTTGTCATTTTTGTTATTGATAAAAAACATGCAATAAGTTATAAGTATGAGTATAATAGAAATGGTTGATAAGGGAATTCTCCAATATTATTTCTTCACTTTCAAAGAATTCACCATGACCAAACCAAATAATATGGGCATTTTACTCATTAACAGTAGGAGCCGATCGATGTAAACAACACATGAATTACACCTGCTTACTTTCTCAGGCTCTCGCCACATTCCGCAGCTCGTGAGAGGTAATATTATAAAACACATTGTTTTTAAACCGACGTCAGTGCTAAAAAGGACACAACGCAAACCTTCGTGATACTTTTCAAGGAGCTTCGACGTGAGTTAAGGCCAGCAATCTCTGTATTCGAATTCAGTCATCTGCACGCGACAAAAAAAAAGTTTGTTGTCAATTACAAAAGGGTTACTCTCATAACTTACAGTAAAATATAATTAACGGACATTACTTTAGTCAATAATACTATTGGCCCGGCATCCCCGTCCCACCAAACATGCTCGCCCTTTCAGCCATGAGGGCGTTATAATGTGA